AAACGTTCGCTCTCGTAATTATCTGTATTTCATGCACGATGAAGACACACTAATTTTCTTTTTTAAACAAATTAACATTAAATGTAATTGTAGACAGAGGAATTCGAACCTCCATATATAACCTTTGATTTGTTCTCATACGGAAGTACTGTAATATTTTGTGAAAATAATGTATGTTATGAAAAGAATTAATTCCCGAGGGGGAGTCTCGAGTTGGGTAATGTAGAAAATCCTGGTGAGAGGAATCGATTTTGTTTAGAAATGATATTTTTTTTAATTCCAGCACAATATGAAATAAATTAATATGAAGCAAGGATCTTGTATAAAGTGCTTATCATTGATATCAATATCGGTATGTGTCAGTTTACACAGAGCACATCTCAAAATCTGAATATGAACTAGTAGATATCTGGTATTTAAAAATAAAACCATTTTTTAAAATGTATAAGTAAATAAAAATATGATATGGGTTGATTTTTCTACTCTTTTGAAAAAAAAAATATAATAAAAAACAGTTTCAGTTCGGTTTCAGCATGCGAAAACCATACAGAATCAAAATCAATAGTAAAGATAATATGAGTTGATTTTTCTACCCTTTTGAAAAAAAATAATAGAAAAAAATTCAGTTCGGTTTCAGCATGCGGAAACCATATGGAATCGAAATCAGTAGTAAAAAAGTCATTTGAATTGATTTTTTTTACCCATTTGAAAAAAAAGAAAAGAAAAAGTTTCAGTTCGGTTTCAGCATGCGGAAACCATATGGAATCGAAATCAATAGTTTCCGGAAACTGAAACCTACTGAAACTAAAAAGTATCGTTAAATTGACATTTCCTTAAATTTTACATTGGTTTCCGTTTTGCGGAAACTATTTGGAAACAAACCTAATAGTTTCAGCATACGGAAACCCTACAGAAACTTGCTGAAACTATTATATAGTTTCCGCATTGCGGAAACCATACAGGAAACTTCAACGCCAAGTTTCAGCAAGGTTTCCATATAGTTTCAGTTTTGCGGAAACTGGACTTTTCACCCAGTGATTTGAAGCGTATTTGCCTATCGCCATCTTGGACTAGGGTAACGCACTTTACCCTAGTCCGTTTCTACACAATGCACCTGTCGAATTCCATAATCAAAATCTGCAGTACTTAAAATGAAATTTACATTCATTTAACAAATCTCACACAGAGAATCTGATATTGGCTCCGGTTTTTTCAGATGCCTCGAGGTAGCTTGCAGTAGATGGAATTTTTAAATCTTCAGCACACAGGTGTCACAGAACGAAGGGTTTTCAACATGGCTTCTGATATTTCTCTCTTCATTTCAGTTAATTCCATTTGGCCCGAGTAGGTTTTCAGACTAGACTCGGCACGATGACCGGTGAAAGTCATAACAGGACGACCTGAGAACAAACCATTTGAATCCAGCGTGTGTACAAGTCAAAGGTTGCTCTCAGAGACTGATTTGTGTACCTCTGCGATAATCCTGCTTTTTGAAATATTCCAGCCATCATGTTTCCTATAGTAATTGTCTAAAGGGGACATTGTCTAACCAAAAATGAGAATTAAAAAAAAAACCCAATGTTTTGGTCTTTGGAAAAATCTGTCAGATTTTGGATTCAAATATCTTTTGTACTTCATGAATGATTTCATTGGACACATAGGATCAAAATATTAAAATAAGATTGATTGATTGTATGCTTTGTTTAATATCCCTCTAGAGAATTTTCACTCATATGGAGACGCCACCACTTGCCGGTTGAGAGCTGCAAATTTTGTACCATACTCGGCACTCAGGGCCATAGAGCAGTGACGGACCTTTATCGTGCCAGCACCTACACGGGATATTGCTTCATACGGTCTCATCTGAAGGATCGGTCTCAACGTTCACCAGTGGGATTCGAACCCGCGACGTAAGAGTAAAGAAATTAATTTACCTTTGATTTAAATAAAAAATATTCTGCATATATTAAATTAAGAAAACAATTTAAGCTCTATAATTAATAAACTGGCATTACATATGTCCTTCCCTCAGCTGTGTTTGCGTTCTCCTGGTGTGTTTTTTGGCACTGAAATCCGAGATTTCAATAGGTGTAAATTCTCACGGCCTCGGCATAAAAAAATAAAACAGAATATCAACAAACACTTTTTCGTGAAGTTTAACTACGAAAGCCCAGAAGGCTCATTCGAGATTCAAGTTTCAAAATACGAGATTCGTAATTCGAGTTTCGAAATTGAAGATCCAAACTAACCAATCAAAAGCAAGTTCAACATTTGATTTCTCCCCTTTGTTATGTTTTTATTATCAACAGTCACAGACAAATGTCTTGTAAGACTACACTGTAAAAAATGTGTTTAGATGATAGACACTTTCCTAAGCACTTTCTTGTCACACTTTTTTTGATGCGTTGAAATTCTAAACACATTTAATTTCATTACGTGTAACGGAAAGTGTTTAGACCCTAAACACTTACATGTTTAGACTTTAAACACTTTACAAAACATGTTATGATACATGTTTACAAATTAAACACTTGGATGTTTTCGTTGTCTTCCTGCAAGAAAACTGAAAAAATAACAATTGTTTACATTTTAAATTTTATTCAATGAACATTCAAACATGGATTTTTTATAAAGAATTTTATATTAAATATACATGTACATTAAATTTTTACACGCTGGTTTTAATTCTAACCAGATTACCAATCAGTTATTTCTCATGTCTGTATCAAGTTTAACTTCCAGCAATTTTTCACTGAGCAACACACGCATAATTTATTTTCATCTGTGACCGTCAGTAGGTAATCCACTGTCATTATTTGAGAATATTTTTAGGTTGTTCAAAGCTATAACGAACAGCAGACTTCACAAAACTCAGTTTCCCCTAGAAAGTAAGAAGTGTTGAAAAATGTAAGAACGATGGCATGTCATTGTGGACTTGGAGATGGCAACAGTTACTCTGATACGTGTATTTTTGCTTTCAAGTTCGATGTGGACCATATCCTGTAAGAAAGAAATTCAAATTTTATCAAAATATGCTTTTCAATGGCTGGATTTGTATGAACTTTTTTTTTTTTTTTTTTTTTTTTACATGTTTGATAGCTATTATTGTGCTACTTTTATTGAACCTCGTCTATATAACCACTATTTAGTATTGATACTGTTATAGATATTATTGATATTCTATATAATGTACTCCTTTCTAGATTTCAGGGATACAAAATATAACCGAAGGTAATCTTGATCTACAGCTACATGTGCAAACGCATGTCTGTTTACGTAGCCCATCATGGTCAATTTATGTAAAATAAAAATAATAGTTAACATACCTTTTATCGCAGTAATGTTGCAGTTTAAATGCATTTCACAATCTCTTCATGGTTATCACTTTGATTAGCATTCACTTCCTTTAACATGTTTAATCCATCTTCTTTAGCTAACATTGGGATTTCCTTTGTTTCGATAACCGCTCTATTTATCATTCGAATATATATGCGTCATTTCCGGGAAGATAACTCTGCACTTCACATAAAAGTGTTCAATTTCTAAACACTTATATCTAAACATGTGTTAAATCTTAACATCATTTAGATATAACACACGTTTAGACATAAGTGTTTAGCCGTTAAACACAATCTAACACACGTTTAGACCTGAGTGTTTAGCCGTTAAACACAATCTTATACATGTTTAGGTCAAAACACGTAATGGAAGTGTTTATTTTCTAAGCGCATTTTTTACAGTGTATGTCCGATAGAAAGTAAAATATTCGTTTATAGAGCTCACCACTAACTAGTCTTGTTTCTACATAAAACTTCCTCAACACAGAATCCAGATCATTCGATTCGAATGATTCAAAATGGGGAGAGAGTTCCTTCTCTTGAAAATAGCTGCCAAAGATCTTTGAAGCCATTTTCGTAGCCTTCTGGGTGTTTTCTTCGTCTTAAAAATGTCTTTTAAAGGCTTATCAAATTCGATGTCGTCAAGCGAAGCAAACGTTGCCATCTTTTTAAACAAAATCTGTATTGGAAGTCAAAGCCGAACGCGGTTTGAGATGCGGAATTTAAAAAAAACACATAATCGATTGTGTCATCGATAAGAAGTTCCCTATCTATTTTTGGTCCGATGTAGAATAAATAATTCCTTGTAATCTACATTACAATGCAGAGCTTTGCAATCATACTAATATATATGTACCAGTATATTGCGATTCGTTGACAAGATTTTTGCCATTCCTCATTCAAACCAATATAGAAATGTACCGTAGAAATGCTAGGCATATAACTAGGCTCAATTTTTTGAGTGAGGCAAGGGTTCTGGGATTCCTAGACCCAGACGGGGATAAAGTGGTACCTAAATGATGACCAGTGATGGGGGTTTACAGGGATGGGGTATCCTGATACCTTGGTATTGAAAATAATCTTAGAAAGTTTTTATGTTTTGAATTGTCGCCTGCATCGCACAGTGGTTAGAGCGTATGCTCGAGAGTCGCAAACTAAGGAGTTATCCTTACGTAGCGGGTTCGAATCCCACTGCGGGATGAAGAGACCGGTCCTTCAGTTGAGACCGTAAAAACCGAGGGTTTATGTCACGGTAAGTGATGGCACAAAAAAGTCTCTCATTGTTCAATCATCTTCAGTGACCCTGAAAGCCCAGTGCAGATTTAAAACTTGCAGCCTTCCACCGGCAGGCAGTGATGTCTTAATATGAATGAGATTTTTTTTAGAAGGGATGTTAAACAATCCAACAATTTACAAAACAAACATTTTGAATTATAATTAACATGCGTTCTAAATGAAAATGAGGCACCTGGTGAGATGAATGATTTACAGAAAGTGAAACAACGGATGAAAATATTAATTTAGAACAAAGAAACACATAATTTATAAGTTCTATGTTTTCAGAAAACTCTTGAAGATTTAGTGAGGCATTTGCCTCACTTTCCTCAATGGCAGTTACGGGCTTGCTTGGGCTTTTGAGTTTTAGGTGAAATATGAAAAAAAAACGATGTCAAAAGCCTTTTATTCAACAGAATACTTACTGTTGTACATTATATGCTTGCATGATAATAATAATAATAATATTGATATTAAAGACATAAAATATACATATAAGCATTTTTTCTTCAAATCTTGGATCTGTGGCTCCATCTCTTGTTGGACTACTGGTATCTGTATTTTCTCAACCAGAGAGCTCCAAAGTTCTACAGCGACCCTTTTTATTGTAAGAAAACGAACCTTTTATGTTTCAATTCGAGTCCAGATTGAGAAAAAATCCAGTGATACCAGGACATGGCCCATTTATTGTATTTTCAACGACAGTGTATTTACTTGGCATTAATTTCATTCAAACATGAAGAAGTTGACAGGAGCATTAGTTTTGTATTTCTTAGTTTGCCCGAAATGGTGCTGAATTACTGAAACATTTAATACTCCCTCTTGGTTGTTATTCATTTTGTTGTTTACTTGAATCACACGTGCCTTATTAAAATAAAAGCAACTTTCACAAAAAAAAAAAAAAACCCACAAAAGGCCGGATAATGAAACACCAATTATGCAAACTTCTAGCGGATGAATCTAGATAGTGTAATTTTAGAAGCTCGTTTTTTCATCTCTTTACATTCCTTCTTTTTGGTTCCAAATTCTATCTGCAAGAATAGATATTATTATGGAAACTAAGTATTGTACATTTACATGTAAATATTATTTATTGATAATTAACATGCCGTGGGCAAGCATTGCGCCGGGATAACTTGTTTCTGTGCGCCAGTTTACGAACATTTCACTTGTTTCGGCTCTTTTTGAGCCTCTTCACATGGTCATTAAGATTTTGTGATATCATTCCTCAACGCAAACTTTTGACAAAAGTCGCGGCTTATAACCTGGGCTTGAGGTTACACAGTGATTAATTATAAACTTATCTATTATAAAGTCTGTTTTCTGATTGGTTCCAGACCTAGACAGGAAGCAAAATGAAATAGAAACTTTTAAATAGCACGATATCACAAAACCTTGATATTGTGAAGATACTATTTGAGCACATTTTATTGTTGTGAGCTTTACAACACTAATATTGATTTTACTCTTTTGGTTTAAATTGACTTTACAATATGTTGTTGATATACGTCATTATATTGATATAATTAAATTAACTGGGTTGATCGAGTAAACATGTAAAATATGAATTAAATGGTTGATTCCTTGATAATTGACTCATTCATTCTATTATCTTTATAAAACTTAAATCTTACCCTTCCATCTTCATGGCAAAGCCGACAATACTTTGAATTCAAGAGCTCCAACCCTGTTGATAAAAATTGGTTTCCCAGGCGACAGCCTCGTTTGCAAATACAGGGGCATGACAAATCTCTAGGACAAAGGTTTGTGTGTTGTGACCTCAAGGACCCCATTGCTACACATTCTGTCCCCCTTGGACATTCTCTACAGAAAAAATAAACTTGGTTGATTAATTATCTGTTTTTATGTAATGATTAATTTTGTTCTCATCAAAGGCGTTCTACAAATGTAACAATTTGGGTGTATCCTTTTGTGTTTTCAATAAATCGCAAATATCTCTCAAAACATTTACAATTGGTATACAATAATTTTACTATTAATTTAATGGTATACAAATACCTTCATTTCTAAACAATGTATGTGCGCGGGATATTTTGACACCGAGAGTAGAAGAAGACCATCATGTTTTACATGTATATATTTTTATTCCGAAAGCACAATAAGATATAAATTGTTCAATTTCTTTATTCATTAATTTGTACATGAATTATGCCACATAAATTCACAAAGTTATTTACATCGCAAAGCTGTGTTTCTTCTTAGGTGATATCGATATCAAGGAGCTATAAAGAAACATGGTCGAATGACTTCTTAAAATCACATGATCGAAATGTTAATCACCTAAATTGTTTGAGCCAAAATAATGTATTTTACTTTTATGATGTACCAACCCAAAGCCTCTACAGTAAATAATATTGTTATAGTTTCCAAACTTACATTCTCCGATCAGAGCAGTCCCATGTATTTTTAGGCGGACTCCGTGTCGTTGTTATCGGGTTAATCTCCACATCAAATGCAGGAATTGCCTCCCCTGGAGCAATTCTCCTTAATTTCTCTTGTAACAGTTGTTGAAATATAGTTTCAATGGTATTAAAAATTTCTCTGTCCGATACTGGAGAAGCATTTCTACTGGATGATTCGGGAAACAATTGCGCCTCTGTACGTTCATGCAAGATTGTTAAAATGAAAGGTAGAACACATGCATGTAACATCTCCATAACGTATATATTAATTACAAGAAGAATTAAAATGCTAAATGATACTTATATAAATGTTACAGAATATCATTATACTTGCGGTACATACATGAATTAGGTTTTTGAGCAAAATAATTGGTTTTACCAAACAAATGTTTTATGTAGAATTAATTATAACTAAATATAGATTTAGATCCGGTGTTAGGTTATTTTCTTTCACAAACGTGCTGAACATTAGGAAATTAGACCGAAACTGTCAGGTCTATAATTTATCCTTTTCATCTTAAATAAATTCACTTCACTATGCAATTAAAGCAAAAAAAACTACATCCATCATTGCATGCATGTATCAGCTATAACGACATTTTACATGTGTGAACTGTGTAAAATTGAATCTTAGTAGTTTTATTATCATTGTTTTCTATATTATATTCCTAAAAAGGACACAGCTTTAATTTACTGATTTTGTCCTCCTAGTTCTCCTGTTCGTAATTAATTTTAGAAAAGATGAAAGTTTTATTTCGTTGTGGATGGGAATTCCAAACACTTTTTTTTCATAATCTACACATTAAATTAGGAAACTTAAAACACCCTCTTTAATTATCACAGAAGGATACTGGGAATTAATTTGTGAAGCGAAGAATATGATAAAATAAATAAAAATGTGTTTGTCAAATAAGATTCTCCTCACCTCACCCTCTCCCCGAGCATGCTCAAATTGTAAAATATTTGATGAATATTATAACATTTGTGTAGTTAAAGCAATACATGCATATGGCCAAAGGACATTTGAAAAGGCGTTTATAGTTAAAGGGTACTTAACACACACACACACACAAAAAAAAATGGATGCATGGATTGATACATATTTTTTGACTGATTTTTATTTGAAATGACATGAATAATAATTCCCTGAAATATAAAGAGGTTTTCCTTATTACTTAGATATGAGACGTTGCTTTGCTTTCTGTATAATTCCATACAAAATTTTGCACAAATTTTTAACCGTATGACAAAATTGTTAAAAACTCTACAACTATATACTTGATGAACATTATTCAGGTTACCAATTTAAATGTAAATCTATGAGAAATATTGCTGATTTCTGAAAAAAAAAGTTTGTGTTATTTATCATTAATAAGCTTTCAAAAATTGAAAAAAAAAATTATAACTACAATTGTTTAATACTTCTACTGATAATTACTGTGAAATGACAAATTTTCGTGGGTGTGTGTGATTTTTGTTGTTCTCGAGGTATGTAGAGACCCACAAATTCATGACCACCATAAAATATAAAATTTAATATGAATTACTATTTACTAGACATTCCTTTAACCACGAAATCAAATCCCCATATATATCAATATTTTATTCTCAAACCTCGAAAATATGCGCCCGCAAACATATATGATTTTATAGTAAGCGGTTTTGGTATATGAACCATATTTTTTTCTTTTAATTCCAAATGAGAGAAATTTTATAACGAAGAGGAGAAAACCTTGTAACACATAATATTTGAAAGTAAAATTGGGTAAATTACAAAAAATGTACAAGAAAATGTGTGCTTATTGACGTAATTTCATCTCAATTCTTGGGATTTGCATACTATTTATTTGTTATGAACCATCTTTAATTGAGTATTCATGAGGACTGGATAGTTTTGAAAATTTTAAATAGTGTTTTGTTTACTTTAAAACGAAAATTTAGTTCACTAATTTTTATTTTGAAAATTAACATATGCACATGACGTCGAGTACTCTTTTGAAATCTTAGAATAGATTTTTTGAAAACGGTAAAACTTTTAATCAAATTAAATTTGTAAAATAAATATATGTTTTTAAAGAATTGAAATTGAATTCGTATTAATTTTATTTTAAATAATTAACTTAAAACATTACCGTGGAAGATATAATGACGCATTATACTACTAAGTAAAATGTTAACATTAATAATGAATGAATGAATAATAATTATAAGAGGAAAAAAGGTGCAAGAAACACATGTACCTGTCTTGTAAAAACGCGTAACTCTGTAACTGCTTGTAGTACATGATTATTATGTAAATAGAAACGGACAGACCACACTCACTCATTTCCTCAATTAAATTTTTAATGAATAAAATTGAGAAATAATTTTCAAATGCTATATTTTTGAGGGAGTCAAATTTTAAAATGACGTAAAAGCTGTCAAATTTGCATTTGGCCAGTGTTTTTTTAGCCAATTGAAAAAAATGTTGTGTTTAATAAATAATGTTTCATCCGAAAAATATTTCCACATTTTTACTTCACAGATATGGTTTGCACCTTTACATTCCTCGGATATTTCAAGAACTTTCAACTACAGATTCAAGTATGACAATGTACAAAATACAAAATAGAAATTCAATGGAATACATTATTTCATAACCCGGAGATAGTTATTTTTTTTTTAGATTCAGAATTTTCAAGCACATTTTCTAACATAAGGCTAAATTAAAGACTAAAGTGTATTTTTTAAAGTCACGTTAATGACGATTTCATTTAAACTTTGAAAATTCACCTTGAGATCCGGGACATATATAGCCTACAAGAATTCACTTTTTCAATATTTCAATTTACATTTATGTAGCAAATATACTATATATAGTATATTTATTAGATTTCGATAAAACGTTGTTTGATTTCTATGCACATGAAGTTACAAGTACTGGTATAAAATACTTGTAAAATTAATTATAGCTCAAACTTTTCATGACATCATTTTCTTGTAACTTCAATTATATACAATGTAGTGATCAAAAAGTGAAAAAGTGCGTTCTTAGCTCTACTGGTCAGAGACCAGAAGAGCTTATGCGATAGTAAGGTGTCCGTCGTCCGTCCGTCTGTCAATTTTTCAAAATGCTACTTCTCCTACAGTTTTGATCTGATTTCAATATAAATTGGCACAGAAGTAGACTACACTACGATACATAAAAAAGTGCATCGGTTTTTGATTTTGATGAACGGTGTTGCCACGGTTACTAAAACTAGAAATCGCTACTCCTCCTACAGTTTTGGTATGATTTCAATAAAATTTGTCACACAAGTACATTACACTAAGATACATTATTAAGTGCATCAGTTTTTGATTTCGATGAACAGTGTTGCCATGGTTACTAACCAGAAGTCTCTATCGAGACTGAAGCTCTACTGGTTTGTACTTATAGTTAAAGGAAAAGAAAAGCACTTAAGCAGTTGGGTATTGAAACTTTACAACAGCAATGAATAGAATAATAATCCTTGATTAAGTCTCTTTATGTTCTTAGGGTAGTCTACTTGCATGCCACATTATATTATAATCAGACTAAAACTGTATTTGGAGTAGCATTTTGAGAGTATTTAAAAGAAATTTCTATTTTTAGTAACCAAGGCAATAATGTTCATCAAAGTCAATAAAGTGCCACGCCACAGCATGATACGCCCGTCAAAAAATTACAATTATAATGTATCTTAAACAGTTAAAAGTGCAGGAAAATCATGTCAACCTTGATTTTAAGATTTCAATGATTTTTACACACCTTAAAAAAATTTGTTTATCCATCTCCTGTGGTGTATGCATTAATTATAACAAATATTGCATCATTCATAGATTTCTATACCTTGCCAAACGCCTATCATATTAAACAATATCAAATTACACAACTTAATCAATACCTAATTAATTTTGGAAATAAAAGGCTGGCCATCAAATATAAACTGACCAACAGTTCCTCTGTCTAATTCCCATAAGACCATGCTCTGAAGAAATGAAAGAGACATGCAGCTAGCCTTCCTACATTGAACACATTAATTAATCTTTAACTGAATGCTTGTCTACTCATTACTCCCAAAAGATTATTGGATCTGCACTATCTACCATAAAACATTTTTAAACGTACAAAACATCAATGATTTTTTTTTAGATTTAATGTCAGACAGTTAATTGTTAATATGCAATTCATACGGACATGCAGATTCCACCCCTACCCCCATAAAATTAATTTTTAAGTTCATAATATTATGTAATATCAAAATAGTTTAATATGCAATATCAAATTAGTTTTAATTCTTCTCATCAAATTCATTTTAAAACTTCGGCTAGCCAACTGAAGCTATTTTTAATCCAACAGGCTTAAGCTCTATTTACACGGTCTGACTTGTAAGATGTGATTTCAGATGTGATTTCACATCTGACTCCAGTGTTTCATTTACACAGTATGATTTGTCAGACATGAAGTTCATTAATATTTCCCTCTAAATTTTTGTTGTTTACATTTCAAAATGGAAGATGATGATACTTTTACAGTCATTTGTGTTTTAATGAATCTACTTCTTTTTGATATAGTTCTTTGTTCTGTAGTTAATTTCAGTTCTTTCTTCTGTCCAGCCAATAGAAAATGTCCTCTCAGGATTTCCCCCACATTTTAATTGCAATAAATAAGATTAATTGATATTGAATTATCTATGGAGAAGAAGTGCGGGAAAAATTCACATGTTAGTTCTTCTTTATATAGATCAACCTCTTTGACCTTTTCAATGATTGGTTAAAACCATCTGACTTGCCAGACGGAATAGAGCATGTTTCTATTCCATCTGACTCCATCTGACTTCATATCTGTCTTATGATTTTCCTATTTACACGGTATGATTTATAAGATGTGGCAAGTCACATCTTACAAATCAGATCGTGTAAATAGGGCTTTACCCATTTGGCCCAATACTCAAGGGATATAGATAGCACCGATGCTCTTAACAGCTACTCCTCACACTAAACTCATTAATTTCTCTCTCTAATTTAATTGACATGCAATTTTCTGTTATCAAAATTTTTCTTGACCAGTGCTTGATAATTAGACTCATGGGAGTGGTGGAATTTCTCTAACATACATTATATTTGTTATAGATTGCTGTCAAGTATATGCTAAAAACAATAAGTATTTTCTTGATTTAACATTTTTCTAATAAGGTTAGTGCAATAGTTTTACATTTTTTTGAATGAGTAAATGAATAGAAAAAAAGACATCTTTTTTTAAAAATTCCACTTAAATTAAAGGTCACAGTGACCTTGAAATAGGTTGACACACCTTCTACCTAAGATGCATAAACTGGCCAAGTTTGATGATCCTAAGTCTAATAGTTTTCTAGTTATGGACCGGACAGGATTTTTCCATATTTGGCTATAACTTCTTAATTAAAGGTCAGAGCGACCTACTTTTTGTGCGCAACACACCTTCTACCCAAGATGTATCAGCTGACAAAGTTTGATAACTCTAGGCCTTATAGTATTAAAGTTATGAGCCGGACACGAGAAAAGCTAACAGACGGACGGACGGACAGACGGACAGACAGACGGACATGAAGCCTATAACATAATACGTCCCGTCTTAAGACGGGCGTATAAAAACCGATATGCAGAATTGTGCATCTTTGTATAGTCTACTTCTGTGCCAAATTTTATTGAAACCAGACCCAAACTGTAGAAGACATAGCATTTTGAAAGAATTTCTCGGAAATTTCTATTTTTAGTAACAACGGCAACACCGTTCATCAAAATCAAAAACCGATACACAGAATCCTCCTACAGTTTTGGTCTGATTTCAATAAAATTTGTTACACAAGTAGACTACACTTACATGTAGATACATAATTTAGTGCATCACTTTTTGATTTCGATGAACGGTGTTGCCACGGTTACTATAAATAGAAAATTCTGTGAAATGTCTTTAAAACGCTACTCCTCCTACAGTTTTGGTCTGATTTCAATATAACTTGACACACAATTAGAATACACTAAGAAACATAATTTAATGCATCGGATTTTGATTTTGATGAACTGTGTTGCCATGGTTACTAAAAATAGAAATTTCTGTCATATTTCTTTTAAACGCCACTACTCCTACAGATTTGGTCTGATGGTAATGGCTTCTTTTCTCTTCCTTTGTTTTAAGTACAAACCAGTAGAGCTGCAGTCTCGACAGAGACTTCTGGGTGTTTTGACTGGTTCAGATGATTATTAGATAGTCAAACTTCGTATCACAAAGTAGATCGAATTTAAAAAAAAACTTAATATCCGAGGATTGTTAGTACCAGGGGTGATCAAAAAGTTCGCAAACTATCTCTATATCTACAAAACCACAATTCAGATTAGAATGAAATTCGGTACACACATAGCCATACACAAGGTCTATAAATAGCATATGCTAAATAAAGTTTCTCTCCTTGTTTGTGACGTCACAATGTGAAAATGACCCACTATTTAGGTCACTTGTGACGAAAAATGGTTGTCTCAGTCGAACTCGTTCAACAAACAACTGTACGATTTATTGTAATATCTTAGAAATCCCTCTGCAGTATCATATAATAATTTGTACACAGTTTATTGAGATAAATGAGTTCCTATAAATTCAATTAATGATTGGATTAATCGTTTTAGTTAAGGAAGGCTGATGGTTAAAAATGATACTTGTCATCTTGCGCAGTGAAAGCAAGTTTGAAAAGATATGTATTTTTTAAGCAATTTGCTATCAAAGACCTCCAATTAGCACTTTGGAAAATAGTTGAATATTTGAACAATGATATAAGTATTAAATATCTAAGATATCGTTTAATTTAGATTTTAAACATATTAGACATGATGAAAAGGATGCACCCATTCTCTATCCACCTTGAATAAAGGTCTCTCCTGAGACAGAAGTTTTGTGTTTTAATGGTCGCCATGCTTATTTTTGGAAAGGATGTTATTATCCACCCATTCTGTTGCCGAGATATGACCATTTCTGACAAATGAACTGTTCTTGTCATAAAAATATTAACTCACATGGCATAGGCGTCGGAACCGGGGGGGCTAGAGGGGGCTTAGCCCCCCCCCCACTTTTTTTCCAAATATATACTTAGTATAGACATTGACCATTGCATCGTAGGTTTAGCCCCCCCACTTTCCACAGACACGTCGCAGTATATGTTAAAAAATGGGGAAAGTGTTGGTGTCTGGGAAAAAAGTTTGGTACTCGAAGTTGGAACCTACTACTCCCCCCCCCCCCCCCCCCCCCCACGAAATAGGATTTTCGATTTTTGGAAATGGGCTTTTTTTTTTTTTTTTTTTTTGCTTGTCAAGTTTTCTTTGAGGTATATTTTTTTTTTATACTTAGCCCCCCCCCCACTTTCAATTTGCTTCCGACGCCAATGCATGGAAAGAAATATAAAACTCAGGAAAATCCTACAACTTTGGTGACAGAACGCTACGGAGGGGGTCACGTGACCGCCAATATCACGTGATTCGCGCATGCGCAGAACGGTGGTTGATGTGCATTAAAATCGGGGAGGATCAATTTAAAATATAATCAACATTAAAACCAAATATTGTTTCTTATATGAAACTTATTCAATTAGTTTTCGAACTTTTTGATCACCCCTCGTAGATGAATGCAAATAAGAATGTAATTCAACATCTTAAAAAAAACACCTAAATTTGAGAGCAGAGTTTAAAGTTGCATATCTATAATAAACATCATCACTTCTGATAATTTTATTTAATAAAACCAAGTCTTTTGTAACTTGCAAAGGATTAATAGCCTTGCAAATCCAGGGTTCCCCCTCTAGATCCGCGCATGCAATCAATCCATTTACCATGCGTCGATATTATTCTAGAAAAAGACATTATTGGCAATCTTACAAGTAAACTTTATTTAATGATAAAAGTAATGACATTATGATTTTTCTGTCGTCAACTTGTGTAGCAATGTTTTCTTTTATCCTTCATATGGGTTTCATGTCTCGCATGACAAGGAACACATGGCGTGTGTGATAGGTCCATAGGGGATGCTTACTTATCCATAGCACCTGATCCAACATCTGATGATTTAGAGGTCTGTACTACTTTAAATTCGATTTTATGCTAGTATTGATGACATGTAAAATTTCTGTTTCTAATTACATTGCCTCAGGACATAGTGATCTTTTAGACCTAATATTCTTCCACATCTTCACACTGTTGCAGGGCTTTTTTTTCCTTAAAAGATGTATCACAGATTTGACAGACCATAAGGGATTATTTTTGTAAATGTTAGAATGTTACAATACAGTTTCAATGGATCAGGAACATGAAAATCTTTTAGATTTGATATTCATCCGCGTGACTCCACACTGTTGCAAGGCCTGACTACTCCTTTTGTTGACTGGTGCATCACACACATGAGGTAATTTCACGTGATCGTGTTCAAGACTAAACACTTCATCCAACATTTCTTGATGTATCATACAGGACTGTCTTACTTTAGATTTTTTAATTTCTGCATAAATGTGAAGAAATTTTCTGGCAATTATTTGATCTTCTTGTCGGATTTCATTCTGTTAAGGACAAGACAAAAGTTTAATTTTTGCGATGAAATTTTAAATAACATTTTCTCAAACAAAACATATATATTTCGTTACAAGTTTATGTTAAACGGAAACAAAACATTTTTAAGGATCTAAATAAATCATATGTTATATTTTTCTACATAAAATTGAACTGAAGGACACTTACTAATGTTCGCAAAACGTATTGCAGTTTTTCACCAATTGACATTCCAAAAGTAGGGTCATTAGTTGTGTTTTTCTCACTTTCTACACATTCCGTGACGTCAGCAAGAGATCCTCGACTGCACGAGAATTTCTTCCTCATCGCAACTGCCGAAACGTCTGCTCCATCCAAAACATTATCGCGCGATCCTCTCCTGCGCATAGCATATTCGGTTATTTCTTCCAATAAGTTGCTGTTAGATGCCCGTCGAAGAGGTTTCATTAACCAAGAATTCTTAATGGATTCAATATCATGTCTTGGTTTTAGTTTCAATTTTTTAGAAATCTCGATTAATGCTGATAAATGGTCCTGGCTCATTTTACACGTAAATAAACACAGAAACAACTGAGTGTCCACGGAAACTGACAAAATAACTACAGGATAGGTTATTGTTGGAGTTTCCGGAAAGTAAGGATACGTGAGTCAGGCAGTTTAAAAGATACTTCATCGCTAGTACAACGGATGTTCTGAAGTATTCCTCGTCTGTTGTGTGAAGTCGAAAAGGAAGTACACAGTGAATCAACGGACACAAGGATTACATTTTTTTTTTCAAAAGAAGTTTATTTTGAAATGTATTGAATATTTCTCTATATTTCAAAAAAAGAAAATAAATTATGTAGTAGATTTTTGTTATATAATAAATTTTAGCTCTTGGCTTGTAAGGTATAAAATTGTTCATCTTTTGTAGCAGATAGGTTTTTCTAGAATGTTTAAATTTCTTTTTAATTTTTTTTTTCAAAATATATTGAATTTGGTGTTTCAACTGTACTTCCAAATGTAAGAATGGATCAGAAATTTTCCGAAGTTTAACTTTAATCAAATATACAGTACACCCATGCAGTGAATTCAGAGATTGTACACATATCATATTGAAAACAAAAAAAATATGTTGACCATTCCATAGTATGTGAAAACAACATATATACTCCACTATGATAAAAAATAATGATTAAAAAAACTTGTTTTGTGTAATAAACACTTATCAAAACTTTATCAACACTGCAACGCATTAGTGAAAGCGTATTTTCGTGACATGCATAGCAGGAAAAACGAGAGACACTTATACGAATAATATTTTCTCCAATGCGTTTTTTCTCTTTTTATTTTATGCCTCACTTTTCAGGCCTAGTTGTAATGGTAATTCATCCATTTAGCTATCATGGCAAAATAATGTCAAAAAAGTATGCACAATTAGCATAAACAAAAATAATAATTGATATATTTCAAAATAAATAAAATTTTTTTTTAAAAATTATATAGAAATTTTAGTGCATATGCTCATCCAATAAATTCATCGATGTAAAAAAAAATCAATAATCAATGAGAAATTATTGTCATCAAAATGAAGATTATTATTTCCATCAAAACAAGAAATTATGGTTTATGCCCACACCCCTCATGGCAACGGTGCAAAATTTAAAAATAATCTTTGTGTCAAACTGAAAAGAAAAAGGAAGAGAACTTCAGTTAAATTGCATATTTTTATGCTCTTTGTTTCCGAGTTTTTGCAAACCAATTGTTTTATTCACAAATTCAACATATCATAAATTATCAATTATCTGAATGTTGAAATTGAAACATAATAACAACCATTAAAATTATAATTAAAGCAAGTTTTTAACATATTTTAGTCATGATTTTATGCATGTTATCATTTAGATTTTATGAAAATCTTTGCATATTTTATATGCTTTTCTTAACTCTCTTCTTTGCAATTGCAAAATTATTTTATTCACAAAATCAAGCAATCAAAACCTTAAACATGAATTAAAAATTAAAGTATAATATTACGTTTTCTCAAGATTTTCTTTTTTGCATGTTGCTACATTTAGGATATGCACTAACAGTCCCCCAAGTTGAGCAACCTCATCTTGTTCTCGCATTCCGTCATTCATAGCTTCTATTGCAAACAAGTTTTTATTTGGATTGAAAAATGATGGCAGAAATTTTTTCTCCACACTGTTCTGAAAACGATGTAATATTTTCCTAGCCCATACAATAGAGACATCGTTTTGATTATCCTGGGTTTTTGTTGAACTTTTATCCTGGTGAAGGGTCCATTCATACCACTCGTGAAGAAGACAAGTTTTCAGGTGATAACTTGTTATATAGGTTTTCACAGCTCTGTTGAAATCATGGTCCACAACCTTAGGGAAATATCCAGATTCCGTTAAAATTTTTAGAAGGATGTAACTCTTTTTAACAGGATTTGGAATGTCTTTAATGATGCTTTGTTCCAAATAAGAATAAGAAATTCGAAAGAACAAAGTAAAATCTTTCACATGACATCTATCAGGGGTTTTCATAATAACTGTTGAATATCTGTCCACTGTTTCTGTTTGGCAAATATCTTTCCTTTGGCGATGTAGATGCTTTGGTGCCCAGTCTGCAAACTGTAGAGCAGGAACAATATCTATTGAGGCGTAGAAAAATTTGGCTTCCTGCCCAAATACAAGAAACTTCAACTCTGAAATGGTATTCCAAATTTCTTTCATACTTTTCAAAAGCACAATATGACAGTAGTCATCGTTTTCTTTGAGTATTATTCCCAGTTCTTCATTTACACATTTATAGAAGTCTTGAAGAAGCAAATGACTGTCAAGAAATCCATCACTAGTGAGATATTTATCATAGGGAGAATTCTGTTCTCCTGATCTTATCCTGATTTTCACAAAACTTTCAGGAAACGTATCATCCTCAGCTGGATGGAGTAGTCCGGAGAGATTGGAAAAGATAAATAAGTAGTCAAATTCATCTGGAATTCTCACTTTGGTTCCTTCATACATACTCCCAGCTAGCTTAACTTTGCAGGTAAATGAAGGATATTTTGTGCTTATGTTTTCAGCTAAAAGCATAAATAGCTGGTGAATTTTCTTTGGAACCAGATGATTATCTTCCAGTGAGTAAAAAAGTCCCATTTCACTCAAAGTAAGAGATCTTTGCAAACAAGACTGAATAGATGATTCATGGAGTTTCAGATGGTTGAGATACTCTTCAATGTATAGTTTGTCATTTTCTTTCCTCATGTACCTCAGGTGTGGACAGGCAATTAAAGGGTCTATGCCACTGCATTCCAAATTCGGTACCTGTAGTTCCAGAAAGTCCATTTCTTGAAATTTTTTGCCATCAATTAAATCGGAAAAATAAGCAAAATTCAATTTTTTGGCTAACACCTCGGGGTTATTTCCAGCTTTATCTTTTAATGTGTAGTCAGATCCAATTTGAAGTAACGTTTGAACTGAAGACTTTTCTTTAAACCATACTGCCCAGTGAAGAGCTGTTGACCCATAAATGTCAACAACATTAAGATTGTAATTACCGTCTAGAACGAAATGAATAATAACATGGAGCATGTTATAGTTTTTACAAGCCCAGTGTAGCGCTGTGGCTCCTGTTTTAGTCCTCTGCGTAACGTCTGCTCCACAGTCAAGTAATGCAACAAGAATGTCTAAGTCATTCTTTAAAGTAGCCAAGTGGAGAGGAGAAATTCCATCAACGTTTCGTTCATTGACACTTACACCTGCTTTCACTAAATATTTTATTACATCAGCTCTTTGTTCCATATCTATTTGTTCATAAGAAATGTCTACTTCTTCAACAGCGCAGTATATTTCATTTCTTCCTCTGTTGTCCTTAACATTAAGCGCGACTTTCTGATTTAATAGTTCGCTTACACCCTCAACCGTTGTTTCTTTTGACATCAAGGCATGATGCATCAATGTTTTTCCCGAATTATCTTTATCATTAACATCTAATCCTTTCTTTAAGAGTAATTCCATTAACTTCTGAAATTCATTCACGTGAGTATTGCTCGCAATATAGTGAAAAGGGGTCTCACCTAATCTGTTTTTGGCAAAAACGTCAGCTTCATTATCAATTAGACATTCGAAACTTTCAACGTCTGCAAAATTAGCCATAACATGCAAAGGTGTATCCCCATTGTTATCAGTGCTGTTGATGGGTATTCCTTTTTCAAGTAATTTCTTTATTAATAAAATTTTATTTTCATCTCTGCAGTTAGGAATTAAATGAAGAAATGTTCCCCCAGTTAGGAGGTCCTTTTCAAAAATATTTGACACATTGTCTATTAGTTCGACTAGGAATAAGTTGGGTAGCCGTCCTTTTGTGAACAAATGAAGAAAGTCGGTTTGCCCGTTAATGTTTTCATGATTTATATCTGCACCGTTCTGGACAAGGTATTTTACAAGATTTGAACAATCTCTAGAACGGCCTGCACCTACTGACTTTAAAAGTAGAGACTGACCTAGTGGATCTGTAAAACTTAAATCTACTCCTGCTCCTTCGAACAGTTTTATGATACCTATCGTACATGAGCCTGAGAGAATTGAGTCATACAAGCCCTGTCCAAGAATATGGCACTTATCTTTCGTCGTTAAATCCTCATTATTATTAATTAGTGACTGCACAAGTTTTGAAATGTCATCTTCATTACCACTCAAAGTAGCCTCTTTGAATTTCTTCTTTAATTCTTCCATGTATACTCTGATAAAAAAGGTAATTACATTGTAAAAAATAAAAAAATAAAATAATATGGTAACCCATTCCTTATTTTTCTAGAAAAAAATGTGTGATTTTTTCTACATTACACAACTCAGTGATATGCATTACAGTTAATTGTACAAACATTCTTAAATCTTATTTCAATTTTTTTTTTTTATACAATTTTTGAGTATTCTTTTTGAAAGAACTATCAAAAATAGGCTAAAGATTTTTTTGTGCACATATATCAATCAATCAATCAAACAAAAAACTAATTTATTCAGTAACTTTAATTATACAACATACTTAAAATTCGAAAGAATGGGAGATATTTAAAAGTGCTTTTAACAATTAAAAAAAAAATATGTTAGTGTATAACATCGACGCATTGCTCGACACGATACAAAAATTATACTTTCACTTTCATGAAATGAATATTTCTTTTCTATAAATAGATTTCTCTAGGAATTTAAATTGGTATTTCGTAAATGCTTTTCTAAATCGAGTTGTTGAATTTTATAGACAGACATATATCATGTACTTAAACGAGTCTCTATGAAGACGGCATAAAAGATATATTTTATTCCAATAATATATGAAAGACTCACCAATGAATCTGTTATTCATGCTCATCAAAGTTCAAGACCATGTATGGATACCAAAATAACACACAGAAACCAAACATAAGGAGAGATAACTCGAACTGCATTATTTATCCTTTTATCAACATTTGTTTCGAACGACAGCTGTACTGAACTCTACAAACATTTAGGTCAAAAAAATTATTACTATGTAAATTGAAAAAAAAAATTCGTTGAGGACATTTCCCAGATAATAACAATAGGAAAGTCAAATATTCATAAACAAAATCAATTTGGAAAAAAAGTTGTTGGCGTTAAAATAAAAAGTTGACATTTGTGCCTTCAATACATTGATCTCTTCAAATGATATACTGTAAATGTATATATTCATATATTCATGTATATCATAGTCCAATAAATTTTTTCATGACGATTACAAGTGACAGCGATATTAATTTGTTGGACTGAAGCACAAGTTACTTGTATTCATTGCGCAGAAATCACAAGCACAAGCATGTACAAGCGTATGACAGTCTATCAATAATAGTCCCATATAACATACATGTAGTTATACAAAAGCTGATCTGACATTCACAAGTTAAGAGTCTATATTTGGTAACAACGATAAAACCCTTTTGCATAATTTTGTCAAATTGAGTTTCTTTACAACTCCACAATACGATTATATTACTCAATACTAGCATGAGGTTTATGTACGTTAACATACATTTCACATGGTCTTATCAAATTATGATAATTTTATTGCCTCCTCTTTAGGGTAGAACACTTTGTTTTAAGTATATCCGATCCTCAACCAGGAAGGATTACTCCAAAAATTAATATTTAATTTAAAGTGTATCAATATGAAGATTGAAAATGAAATTTTTTCATGCAACATCTTTCATTTTATTCATCTTTAAAAGGTTCAAGCTTTTTGGAAGTCTTATAAAAGGTCCCATAAAAAGTTGACATTTGTATCTTACACAGGGAATAGTGGCATGACACGATTTTCTTTTTATATCAAAATTATGTGAAAGTCATGTGAAAATCATATGTCTTTTGAATATTTTCGAAAATCATGCGAATTGGCTTGTATGATATTCGCATGATTTTTCCTGTCATTTTTATATGAATTTTTTTCGTGCGATATATGTGTAATTTGGTCTATGAATACAGTATGTATATACATACTGTACATGAATAATTGTACAATTTTTCTGTTGATTGCTTTTTTCAGAAGTAATTGTAGTTTTCCCTCCTCTTTTGCAGACAATTTCAATGAGAGTTTTCTCTTTCTTTTTGGACAGGATTAAAATATACAGGAAACATTGCTGTGAAAAAAACCCTTTTTCTGAAGATGCAGGTTCTGAAGAAATAGCATTTATGTGATACCAGGTTACAACATACCCACTTATATATCCTATATTACATTTTCCTTGATCCTGAACTTCTGTTTCATAACCTTATACAATGTTTCTAAGGCTTTTAAAATATTTCAAATGTGTTGTTTTTTGTTTCCTTTTAGCTCAAACATCGTACTTTTCAAAATGTCACGACAAAGGTAAAAAATCATTTCTGGCAAAACAACAAAAAGTTTAAATAAGCTTGAAATAAAATATAATCATAATTGAAGTATTTATTTTCAAATCACTTTAACATATAATTAAAAATAATTTCATTCAACATTAATTTCTGCAGCTGATCATATTTGGTTGTGTGCCAGTTGTTTCTGTCTAATCTGAGAAGTAACATTTCCTACCCATAATATAAATCTTGCATCACATCTACGGCTTTTCGTCGAAGTTTTGAAACTCAATATTGAAGATTTTGATAAATTCTTCCGAGTCACCGCCACCAATGGTTTCAATAACCTCAACAAAATTCTCCAGCAGAGTGGAATATGGATGTTTGAAATACAGCAGTAATCTTTATCGAAGGTTTCATCTATCATGTAGATATGTAGGTATTTTTAAATACACGTATATATTCTAGCTTTAGAGAAAGCTCTCATTTAGCAAAAGTCCGGATAATCATTTTTTGGTCTCCGACACGTACTTAATGCAAAATTTAAAAACTCTGAATCCATTGGCTGACAATGCACGGTCAGCAGTTCCTTTAAATTTAATGTAATTGGGCTTTATGACATTTAACAAAAAATTGTTACATATTACATATTAACCATATGTATAAATTATCATTTTTTTTCCACAGAATCAATGCTCTCTTCATCAACTGCGAGTTCGACACCCCATCTCTTGTGACATGACACACAGCGTAAGTCCATGAACTAAATGCAAATTGTATTTAATGAAATATGTTCAGAAATAAGAAAAATTGGGTGACTGAAATTCAAGGGAACTTGTATTTTTAAGATAAAAGGTCACCTTAATCTCAAAAAACAGGTATAAAGTTCCTTTAAAAAAGATTCAGTTGACTACGTGATAACATCGATCGATATATGATCTTTCTCTGACCTTAAAAGGAGATTTTCAGATTGAGTAGACTAGTGTATCTTTGTTTGATGCTAAAACACTGTTCCTTGTAAAACTGATTCATTTCACCAATGTTAAGCAATGTTAAGTAAATTTTATGCGAAATGAATGAACAATTAATATGACTGTACATATATGCCATTCAGTTCACACAGATAACGGCAACAATTTTAAATACCCAAGATTATATGTATGATTGTTCAGCATAAAAAGTCAATCATCCTATTTCATTGAATTTCCATAAGGGAGCTATAATTAATATGCTGTAGAATATTTTTACTCACTGAAAATAATACTAAAAAATAAAACAAATGGTCGTTCATCATGTTTACACAATGTTGGGCAAAATGACCTGAGCTGAATGGTGTTGGATGCGAATAAACTCCTTATCTTATTGCATTGCGCATGCCCTGTCACCAACTCTGTCGCTTATACTTTTATTAGGATAATAATGATGGGGATTTTGGTGAAAAGATCGCTTAAAGAAGCATATGTCCATTGAAGGGAGGAAGAAATGGTCAGTATAGTGTAACAGCCAGAAAAACAGGAAATGGGGTAATTCTGTTTAATTTAAAAACAAAACAAGGAAGTTATGTCTCAGACAATCAAATTTTCTTTTTGAGCAAACTTCGCTAAAAATAATGCATATGTATTATACAGCTCATTCAGTCATTTGTATAATTAAAGTAAATTTTAAGTTGCAATTGCTTTAACTATAATATTCAGTGACTAAAATTAAGTTAAAATGGATGATCTGTTTAAGTCCTTCGCCTAGCTAACAATGATAACGCTAAAATATATGTGACCATGTTATATAATCTATATTTTTATCTAACGGTAAGCGGGTAATTAAATCTACCTTATCATACCTTAAACATAGCCACTGGTTGTTATTTCTAAATAATACATGATATTTTTGTAAATACCTTGATAATTGACTAAACCACATTTTATTAATGAACATGTCGAATTATTTTTTCTAAATTTTTGTGTGAACGCAGAGCCGCTTACTCTTACGATTTCGCCGTATTTTTTACGGATTTATAATCCAAAATACGTCTCACGTTTTGCTGTTATGAAAATGCGGAATGATCTGTTTAAATATGGCTGATAGAATGTCGACTTCGCTGAAATCAACAACAATCATTGACAATCAATCGTTATGATCTGGTCGCTCGCGTGGCGCATTGGTTAGAGTACCTGCCCAGTAAGGACTTGCTCCTTACGTCGAGGGTTCGATTCCTACTTGTGCGACCTGGATACCGGTCCTTCAGATCAGACCATATCATCCGCAGTAGGTGCTAGCACGAAACAGACCCTTCCCTGCTCGATGGCCTTAAGTGCTGCGTTATGGACAAAATTTGCAGCTCTCCACCGGCAGGTGCTTAAAAAAAATCTTGAGAAAGACCTAATACAATGAATCAATCATCGTTTTGATCTATCTCAGTTTCACGTCTTTTGCATGTTATCACAATAAAAAAATAAGATTTCAAGCACATCAGTGATTTCGAGTTGTTAAACATGTTGTGGTTTAAAATGACAAAGAATATGTTATTTTACCATGTTTTAGTTATCAAAAAGCAGTTGTTTTTCTATTTATGTACGTAAAACCAATGGAAAACGAAATCTTACTGGCAAATGTTAAATCTCATGGACAAATCTAATCAAAAATACTGAGAGACGACGATAAGGGTACACAGGTCTGTGAACGGCGCGTAGGGATATCACAGCCCTTCTAATGAAGTTTTTAGTAAAGGTATTTTATCAGAAGCAGCTATTTATATACATTTTTTTAAAAGTGGTGGTCAGAGACTTACACTCCTACAAGTTATGGTTATGACGGTGACAATAGATGTCTGAATTTTCAAGAAAGAAATTTTCTTCTCATTTATTGTGTTTTAAATACAAAAAAATTCAATTTTTACAGATGCAAGAGAACAATCATTATTTAAATGGTATACTGTATTTACTGACAACGTCAGTTACCGACCATAGAACTTGCAAAATGATTTCTCCAAAGAGACTCATTTTATCTTTATTTCCCAGATCCTACTCATAAACAATATTTAACATAAACTAATGTGTTGGCAGCTCCCAGGTTATAGGCCCTGACTAAGCTCCATTACAAGTGTAACATTGTAAATACACAGCATCTCTCAGAATACTTGGATATATGCATACGAAAAATAAAGATCAAGCATTTTTAAACTAACAAATACTTTGAAATTACATGTATCAAGAAATCATTGATATTTGACAATATTACTTTTAGTCTGCTGTATATAGAATATATATAGAATTCATATAAATACAAAGAATAGGTTTGTTTATCATCACTAACAGTGTAAAAAATTTAAAAGGAAATAGATGTATAGTTTTAAATTTATCGCCGTAACAGGAAACCATATCGACTTTCCACTTCGAAAATTTTCACATATGCATCAGAAGTGCAAGCTAGCATTCTATCTTCTTGTTACAGGATTAAAGTCTGCATAAATATTAAATGTAATTTTTATACAGCTGTATAGAATAATATACTAATAATATATTCCCTGATGATGAAGCCATGCCAGATCACTGCTTGTTTGTCATAATAGTCAAAATAAGAACTACGAACTCTAACTCTTGATTCCCGCCTACATTTTGCACCCATTAAATTCAATTTTAATGGCAATTTGGCCATTAAATCTTTGTTTAATATGAAGAACAGTTCTATGGTAATTGATTAATCATTTTATTTCCAGTGCTAGATAGTAAATTTCATTAATGCCAGCTGTTTAAAAAAGGGGGTGTTATAGGCGATATTTTCTGGTGAAATCGAACTTTCAAGAATCACCATATTTTGAAATAGTCTTAAATATCATGAAATGTATCTCATATCTTTTCTTATGTTTTACGCAAATAAATAAAACATATATAAATAAATAGAATACAATTATTTAGTTGTAAATAGCTTAAAAATTGGTGACAAATCATCATTTTTTTTTTCGTTTTTTGTATAAACATATGTTCTCAGAATACGTGAAACACAAAAAGCTTTGGCATAAATTTGTTAAATGACAGTCCATATTACCTGTAAAAAGGAATTTTTGTTTCACGGGGGGATATATCATGTCAATATATAAAAAGAGGTAAAAAATATTTTCCGTTTTCCGCTGATTTCTATAGTGAAAAACACAAGTTTAACCAAAATTATAGAGTTATCTCTCTTTGGTATCCCAAATAAGTAACGTTTTATGAAAATTCATATAAAAATCTATAAAAATTTCGAAAATCGTTTGAATATGTTAACTTTTGAGAATTGACTTAGAGGTAGGCGGGAGAACAATACTATCGTTCGTGGTTCTTTTATAAAAGAAATAAATGGAATTTTATCCTCAACGTGGCAATGCATTTTCTACTTGTAAAGAGTAGCTGAAGAAAAAGGCTTCAGTTTAAAAAAAACTTTGCTTTTCTTTCCGTAGATTTCGTGACAGAACGAGAATTTCTTTTTTCATCTTGGGGATTTACAACGAAATCAAATCCTGTTGTCAGGGGACTTCTGCAAAAAATGTTGCTATTACCTGTGCCTCTGTTGTAGACTTCAGAACAAAAACATGCTTCCCCACGATTTTTACTTCAGAGATCCATGCAATCTCTCAAGAAAAAGTTCAATCCAAATTTTAAAATTAAAGTTTAAGAGAAACCAGAAATAGAATCATCCTCCACTTATGTATACAGCAGTCTTACAAAGGTCTGTCACACTAACAGGCGTTAGTCGTGGTCGTCACATATCATGTGTTACATCTAACCTAGTCTGGGTCAGTGACAGAGACAGTCTCATCTTGACAGACACAACGGGTAAAACGCTATGTGGGCTGACAGATATTTACAGTGGCGATGGCGTACACTCAGTAATGGGGGATGGACAACTTATTTATATAGATAGGGATTACAACATCAACATACTATCTAGAGACAACAAGACAAAGACAACTCTGATACGTAAATCAGAACCATGGAGACCACACTGTGTCTTCTGTTCCCCCTTCAGTGGGAATTTGCTGGTTGGGAACGGAATATATGATACTAGTGAAGGTCGCTTTACAGAGGCTAAAATAACAAGATGCAGTAGCTCTGGACATGAACTCCAAACTATCCAACATGACAAAATAGGCCAAAAACTGTATAGCGAACCTCTGTACATAACGGAGAACCGTAACAGAGATGTCATTGTGTCTGATTACTTGAAAGGTGTAGTAGTCACCGACAGTCGTGGAAATCATCGCTTCTCCTACACAGGCGCCCCATCAAAAGCACGACTTTGGCCACGTGGAATATGCACTGACGCACTCTCACACATACTGAAATGTGATCCAGCTAATAACGCAGTGCATATAATTGACAAAAACGGTCACTTTCTGTCACTGTTGCTGACTAAAGGTCAAAAGATGAATATACCACGAAGCCTGAGCTATGATGAGAAAACTCATACTCTCTGGGTTGGATCACGGGATGATAACATTCTTTCGGTTTTCAACTATAATAGCAGCCTTTCAGGTAAAAAATACTATAGATTTAAATAATGAAATGCTTTCTTTGGTGTTAGTATGGGAATTAATGTCGTAGCTGTTGCAGAAAAAATACATAACCCGCGTAAGCGTAAGCGGGTTCCTTTAATTTAAAGATTTCATGATTTGTTGAAAGTTTTGAAATTTCCTTTTATTCTCTAATAATTATTTGCTTAGGACCAAGTAGTGAAGATCTGGAAAAGCGTAAATATATCCACAATCTCAAGAAATATCTCAAGAAAGAAAAAACATCTATTTTCCATGCACGAGGTATTCTTGTTGGCTGTGCAGAAGCAGGGAAAACTACTCTACTCAGACGATTAAGAGGACTTTCGCAGGATGATGTTGAAGATACCGAATCAACCAGGGGACTAGAAGCCCATCAGCATGTATTTACAGTTAGAAACAATATTTTAGAGGGTAGGTACTACTTATATAATAAAAAAATGGAAGCTTGGTTAATACACACTATGACAAAATCACGATGGGATGAATTGAAATCAAGCAAAATGTTGCGCGAGTATTTGTGAGAAAAGATTGGATGTTTCATATAAACATGTATATTATTTTACGATATATCTCTGCAACGTATGTATTCGTTATGTGTAGTTGAGGTAGAAATGTAAGCTCTGTATGAATGATATTAGAGCACATCAAGTTTCCAAAAAGAGTCATTATAGTTTTTTTGTTACATTGTAGCTGCTGAAGACAGACCACAACTTTCATTAATCAAGGTTACCCTTTCCGACTTGAAACAAGACCGGAGCAGTAATCATGATGTAACAAAATCAGGGTTGATTACAAGTGATCCATGTAAAGCCAAAACAGAGGTTTTTAAAAAGGAAGGCGAGACAGAAACCTGCAATGTACCAATTGAGAAACAAGAAGTTAAAGAAACAGGAATTCAGCCCAGTGGCTCAGTAGCAAGCACAACAGAAAAAGACACAATTTTTCTTAAAGTATTACATGAAAAAGAGAAATTACCAACAGTTAGTATGTTTGATTTTGCCGGACAATTGGCATATTATGCCTGTCACCAGATTTATTTTACACCTAATGCATTCTTTATTCTTGTGTTGGACTTGACTCAGAGGTTTGAAGATGTTGTCAGCACAGAGAAAAACAACCAAGAAGGTTCAATCTTTTCATCATGGACGTACAAAGGTACTGAGTGAAGATAAAGCAGTAATTAATATATTAATACATTAATCACATGGACATCTTTATCATTGTTATCCATGTTTTATCTCCATGTGCGAGAATTCTTGTTTATTGACATCTTTTTTCTTCTACTTTGTAGACTATTTGAAGTATTGGATAGCCTCAATTAAGACGTTTGGAAGTACCAAAGCTCCAGTGTTTGTGATAGCTACACACGCGGAAGGGAAATCTGAAGATGTGAGTTAAATGTGATACATGTCTCAATTTCCCTTTTTTGTGATTGCAATGAAAAGGACTGGGATATTACTTTAGGTTATTGGTATTTTTTGTTTGTTTCTGTCTGATCGATTTTTTTCTGATCATATTTCAATTTGTACAGAGTTCACAAATGCTATTTGTACAAATCTTGAAATCTGACAGAAAACAATTTGTATGTGTAAATTTTGAAACAAAATGTTTGGTGTAAATCATCTACAATCTTTGATCAATGTTTTTATCGGACTTGAATGAGAATTGACTGGGCTAATGTCATATGCCTGTACTCTATAGTTCTATATATGCATGAGTATGAAGAAAAATTACATATAGCTGCAGCATGGCGGAGAGAACGATGTAGTGAAATGCATTTTTACACGAAAAATTACTTTCATAACTTTCTACAATTGAATGTATTTTTATGCGATTTGAAAAATTTAAAAGTGATATCGCTTTTTCAGTGACGTTTGTTAAAATTTCTTTCAAAATTTTCACTCATATTAAGATGCACCATTAGTAGCCCAAGGATAATTTGGCACTTAAGCCCTGTGAAAGCATCGACTGTGACTTGCCTACGGCACATTGATTTATAGTCTTATCTAAAGAACTGGTCTCCACTTTTCACAGTGAGATTCAAACATGCGACATAGGCCAACTCCCTTTTCTGCGACTCAAGAGCAAATGCTCTAACCACTGCGTCAGGCTAGCGACTTTTCAGTGACGTATGTAGTAAACAAGTGAAAATATATCTTTAGGGTCGTTTTCTCTTGTTGATCCTCGACAAAACCAAAAAAAAAAACTTGCTAAGCCTAAAGAAGGTTCAGTTATATCTTTAATATCCGGGTTAGTTTTGCTATTGGCTGTCTTGGAAAATATATAGCATTGATATGCCTGATATATTCTTGTTGACAGTCACTCACAGACTTAATAAGGTACATGTACATGTAATCCCTTTTTATTGTTTTTTTATTTGATTTTCTCCCTAAAGGAAATTCAAAAGTACTTTGAAGAATTCTGGAAATTAGTGCCAGAGGAAGACGAAGATTGGTTCAGTCAGTCTTTGGACGATCGTGAATATGCCGTGGCTCTTCTTGAGCTGAACAGTAAGAGTCAAGAGATCCTAGAGTCAATTAAAAAATCTTTAGTGAGAGTGGTAACAGAAATTATCAACACAAAAATTGAAGTACCCTCTTCCTGGGCTTTGTTAGAACAGCTGTTGAAGGAAGGGGTGAGAAAGGTTATATCCCGCGGGGAAATTTGGGATATAAATGCAACACTTCCTGTTGAATACCAACTAAAAAATGAATCGGAGTTATCAAACTTTTTAAAGTGTTTCCACCGTAATGGTCTTCTCTTATATTTTGACGAAAAAAGATTAAGAGAGCATGTTATATTGGATATTCAGTGGTTTGCTAATGCTTTTAACAAGCTTCTTGCTGACAAAAATCACATTAACAAAGATTGTAAAAGAAAAAATTTCAAAGATTGGATGTCATTCAATAAAACAGGGAAGCTGAAAGAGAAATTGGTAGATTCACTGTGGAAAGATGAACCATCGTATCTGGATCACAAAGCTGAACTCATGTGTTACATGGAGAAGCTTCAAATGCTTGTTCCTCTTCATTCCATGGGGACATTACCAGAAGCTGGTATGTTATGGTATGTCCCAAGTATGAATAAAAAGCCATTTAAACCAGACACTTGCAAAGAAAATTGGGAGTATTCATCGATATTGTGCTTTCGATTTACTTCTTTTGCCATGTTTGTGTTCTACAGACTAATTGCTTATTGTATGGGATGTCTCAAATGGAGTGTTTCATTAGATGAAGACAATGAAGGTAGTCCATGCCTTTTTCAGACAGCAGCAATTTTTGATCATAAAGAACATACTGTTGTCGTTGGTATATGTAATAACGATGTACAGTTGCAAGTGATGCGAATAAAACCTCTGGTTATTGAAACTGCAATTTCAATTGAAATTGGAGATGCAATTGAAACTGCTTTAGAAAAACTGACAAAAATGATTCATGAGGAAAAAAAATTTCTTAAAGGATACAAATGCCAAAACATTATATGCAATGAAGAGGATACGTCATTTACTCTCTCCAGTGAGCTTATCAAGGTCAAGACTGATGAAACACAATGTCAATGCTGTCGGTTTCCGGGTAGACATGCAATAAACATCCAAAGAACCATCGGCTTTTGGGAGAAGGTATAATATTCAAAATTCATATAAAATTAATATCGTTAGACTCTTATATTTTTCCTGACCTTACCATAGACTTTTCCCTTCATATGTCAATCTGTCTGTATGTGAACTTTTGTTTCCCAATTCTCTTTCTTACTGGAACTTTGATGTCTAGGACGATAAAATCTGTCAGCGTTGGGGGGGGGGGTATATTGCAACACATAAAACAGTAAGTCGTCGTTTCCTTATTTTATGTCAAAATATTAATTTTCCTTGTATCGAATATTCGATTGCATTATTCGAACGATAGTCGACTATTCGGAGCATTTTATTTCATTATATAGCACAGTGTTTTTGAAAGCTTATCAATAAATATAAATTGAAAAATTATAATAAATTGGGAATTGTTAACACACACTATCTACACATCCGATGAAAATGTTAAATACTGTTTGTGTTATTACAATGTAATGATTGTCCAAGCTATATATCAAAATGTCTTTTATGTAAGATTAATTATTGTTTTTATAATCAACGAACTTTAAAACTTCACGGCTACATGTATGGAAATATTGTGTGTTCCTAAGCATTAAAATTTTGAAATTCCTAGAGTGTATAAAGATGATTGGTAGAGTAAGTCAATTAAATGATTTTCATAGTCCAGTATAGCGTTGCATAATTTACTACGTACAATAACCAAAAAAGTCAGTGATTGAAAAATAATTATCGCGGTATGTAATTGCTATATTTTTCCAAAGTACAATGTGGAAAATTATTTATGACCGAAATAACGGTAGGACTCTTGGGAGTATTGATAAACATCAATAAATTCAATTACAATATGATGCTAGATTAAGAATCATGTTTATTGATGTAGAGTTTTTACCCAAAATCCTTGGTATCAAAATTCCTTTTCAGAGAAATCTTTCCTGTTACCCAGGACTAAAAAAATCTTGTATGTCTCCGCACAAGCTACTTAATTTTGGCAACTGAACTAAAGAGATATAACAAGTAGAGCTTTTTAAAAAAGCTTCCCGTCTTTCGCAACAATCTTAAACTGTAAACTGATCTACACCTATCAAAAGGCCGTATAATTCTTTTGAATTTCTTGATTTTGTATTTCTACATTAGCTTTTTACTGGCATTAACCTACCACGGTTGCCGCTCGGTCATCTCCGTAAACTTTGATCGCCGAGAGCTTAAAAACAAAACGGTATTTCATTTCCTTCTTCAAACAAGAAAGGGGAAAAGAATAATAACAAATTGTAAAGCACACAAGCAATAAAAATCAAATTTTTTTATAATGAATTAAATAGATAACTTTTTATTTTTTCTACAAAAAATATTTAAAAAAATTAATTACTGCTGATTTTGTTGTTCGTTTTGTCATTTTTTTTTAAGAGAAATTTTATATAACAAAATTGTTAAGCTCTTAAAAAATTGTGTGAAAGTTATCTCCATTTTGCCTTGAACAGCATTTCAACCAATGAAATAATTGAAAATTTTCTCATCATGAAATTTTCACCAATCACAGAGAGGAAGTGCATAGTCCGAAGGTAAAAAAATATATTACAAATCTTCCAAGGAAGACTGTGAATGAATTATATAACATACAAGTCATTATTTATCAAAATTAATAAACACACGGGTGGGATACACATGTAGGTATTATTGAAACGCACAAAATATGTGTAGGATGAAAAAGTAATATAAAAAACAAACAAACACAAACAAACAACATCAACAGCAACAAACAAAACAAAAACTAAAAAAAAAACTAAATACAAAAATAGTAAACTAATTGTTCTGCGAACAATTAGAGGCCTTCCCACCTTTCCAAGCGTTTCCATGTCATTTGGGCTGAAAAAATAATGATGCGATGAGCAATAAGCTCACCTAATGATACCCCGCCTCCCATATGAATATAATGACAGTGTTCATGTGTTGCTATGGGAAACCCAAAATATTTGTTGGATCAAAAAGTAAAATATCTAGGAGGTGCATATATAATGGCATGATGTAATAAAGATTCTCTGAAAGTCTCATCAAATTTCATTAAGTGTAATAAGAGGATACGTTAACCAATATACAGTCACTCAATCAATCTAAGAATATTGATGTGATAGTAATATTATTAGTTGTTTGAAGTGATGAAGCAACTCAAGAAAGTAATGTGTACCCTCAGTATTGATTTTTTGTATCGAGATGTATTAAGTTTGCCATTTATTCATCCTTTGATTTTAAAATTTGAATTTCATTTTTCATGCACTGATAGAATGATTTATGTTTGCATTTTTGAAAATTGTAGAGATTTGTTTCAAAGGCGAAGTTCAGGAAAAGGCGGTTAAGCGACAAAGATTCACAGGTATACCGTATGCGATTAAATGAAAAAAAAAATATTTGTATGTCAAAACTAATCATAAGATACTTAATTGTGATTTTTTTCAGCTGCTAAAGTATTCCTTTACATATATTTAATCATGCATTCTATCTGTATAATAATAGTACTTATCACGTTCATGTTTAAATATTCTTGTTTTTTGAAAAACATGAAGTCAGGAAAGAAATTACCAAAAACAGCACCGGCTTATCCCTTCTTTAAAGGAACGTCACAGAGAGATGTTATATTAAAGTCATATTAAAGTAGAGGTCAGCCATTTTTAGACTATTTATCTCCTTTAAAAGGAGAGCTCCATATAAAGATATACAAAATGATAAAATTTTAAAACTAAAATATTTGAATTTTTTCTTTGCTAAATGATAGTTGACAGCTAAATATACCGTATCTAAAAAAATAAGTTAAATCTGGTGGTTAATTAAAGATTAAATTTTTGACCCGCCAGCCTCCTTAAGCCATATTAAAGTAGAGGTCAGCCGAAGTGTAGGGCTTATTCACATTGACGACCAACCAGCAGGAACAGGTTTTCGTGTTGGGGAAAAATATATCATGACATGTAATGTGTACAAGAGGAATAACTCAGTCTTAGCAAATGTTATCCAAAAGCTAATATATATGTGACATTTTAATAGAATATAAATATAGAATATAATGGCATTTTTGTTTTGATCTCTATGGGAAACCATATAAAGAAAATAACATGATCGAATAAAAAAAGTAAAATAGGAGGTGCACAATGGCAATATGTAATAAAGATTCTGTGAAAGTTTCATTAAATTTCAGTCAGTAGTGTAAGAGGAGTTGCGGGATAAAGGACATCCAATACTCTAAATTGTATTTAAGATATTTTCTTTTAATTCCATTCAAGAACAAGGTCCCATATTGTAATGAAAATATTAAATATGTATATACCCTCCCACTTTTCATTTGTATCATACATAATTAAAAATGAATAAGAACATAAAATGGATGATTTTGGTTTTGTTTAATATATTTTATGTGTGTAGACATTTTAGTGAACACATTGCTTCTTTGTGGGATGTTAACATTGAATTATTTGCTTGAAAAGTTTGGATGGCTGGGTATATAAAACCGATCGGGATTTCAGGTTCCCCCAGCTTTAACTCCATTTAGTTATATTTAGTTTATCCGCAACTCCTCTTACACTACTGAGTGACATTTGATAGGACGAGTTTATTCCTCTTTACACATTACCGTAAAACAATATATAGCAACACATGGAGTTATGGAGGTGAATTATTTTCCAGGGGGGGTGATCATTCAGTGAACTCATTGCTCACAGAAAATTCCTCTACTTTTGAGGATTTAGGATCTCCTGGTGTTGTTATAAAGACTTCTCTAAATTGTGTTTAAGATATTTTTTTTTAATTCCACCCAAGAACAAGGTCCCATATTGTAAAAATACCGGTACTATTAAATACGTAGAGTACTTGTAATTTATTTGTATCATAGATAATTAAATTTTCATTTTGCAATACAGAAGCACCACATTTCATCGATTCTAGTCGAGTCTACATACAATTTGAGAGAAAGCTCCTCCTCCAAAACGTTGAGCCACACAATCTATTGCATTTCGAACCAACATTGAATTATTTGAATGAAAGTTTGGATGTTGCTGTTTTGGAGTTGAAAACCGATCAAGAACAGATTCCCCCAGCTTTAACTTCCTTTAGTTATATGCAGTTTCCCTCCGAAGTTCATCTTATCGGCCATCCCGGTGGTGCGCAGATGAAGGAAGACAGCGAAGTTTATCCCTGTGTTATTGAACCAAACAACGATGCTGAAAACTACTTAAGACACTTGAGTGAATGGAGTGTAAATTATTTTCCAGACGGAGTTGATTACTATCAAGAATTACTTAATCCACCCAGGAAAATTCTTTTTCATACAACTTTTGACATGGGATCTTCAGGATCTCCTGGTGTTGTTATAAAGAATCACAGACACTGTGTTGTTCTCATGGTCAGAGGTGGAACCCCAGCATGTTTTTACGAGAATAAATTTCCCAATTTTACTGTTGAAGACCGAAAGAGAGTCGAGTATGGATATGCCATGGAAGATATTTTTAAAGAAATGATTTTTTCCTCGAATCAACGCATCAAAGATTTAGCATAGGACATATTTAGAGAATGGGTATAGATATATAACTTGAAAATATGAAAAGATACCAACTTGAACAATATTTATTTTAGAAACATTGATATTTAAATTATTTTCCTGTAAGAAGAATGGTTTAAAAGGCTTGCAGAATGCATATATAGTGCATCAATCCTAAGGGTGAAAAATTGATTGATTGTGTATTGTTTAACGTCCCTCTCGAGAATTATTTACTCATATGGAGACATCACCACTTGCCAATGGAGAGCTGCAAAATTTGTCCTATGCACGGCACTCGGGGCCAACAGGGAGAGATCTTTTTGTGCCAGGACCTACTGGGACAAGTTTCCTCGATTTATATGGTCTCATCCGAAGGACCGGTCTCTACGTCCCACAGTGGGATTCAAACTCGGTGAAAAATTAAATCACAATTACATAACTTTATTTTACACCTCTCATCTACCAATAATGTATGCTTTATGTAAATTGTTTACAATTTACAAACATCTTTAATATACAAAGATTGAAATGGATCAGTTATCTATGAAATTATTTTTTCAAAGGATAGATCCATAATTGCTAAATGTGAAATATGAACATGCATCTGATATTTTTCATCATTTCAATTAAATATTTGAAAAAAAAAATAAATATTAAATTAAATATATCAAATAAGAATAGGGCATGCGTGAAAACAATGGTCCTTAGAAACACGCGAACCAGAGGTTGGACAGTGTGAGTAAGCATCTCCACGCAACAGTTCACGTCACCCTTATTGCTCACGTTAATGATGAATCTTAAACGAGGGTTGTCAAAGAAAACGCGAACATTTTCAATATCATTTGTTTCATTAAGACTATAAAGTAAAAATAAAATTGGCATATTTCATGATCAACATTTTTAATAATGTCTAAAAATTTCAATGAAATATCTCTATAAATAGGCTAAAGCATTTTCCTTTTAGGTAAATGAATCTAACAAATCAGATATCGGCGCAACACTGTCAACGTCAAACTTAGTTCGTAGTATTTGTGAATTTGTTTTAAAAAACTGTGTCCCTAATAAGAATTACTTGAGCAGTGACATATATGACTGTATATATAGTTATTTTCAGTGCAAATCCTTCTAGTACTTTTCAAAATCGTTTCGGAGCGATTCTTATTCTGCAACATTGCGAGTTTATGGGAGGTATTCTAATTGTGGTGGGCTTGTCCCGAGACATAGAAGATTATTCTAACAAAATGACAAGCCATAGATCAAGTTTTAATTTTATTAAATAAAACTTTTTAACCAAGAAAAGAGCTGTTTTGATCCGTTTCAAAGCATACATGTATCTCTTATGGCACTAAAACATGTCTTTCTTTGTAAAGCGCATCGACATAGTTCCAATATAGTTCATTCATATCCAAGTAATTACCGAAAAATCCACATTTTGGGGCTCAGCTACCTATAGAAATCTCAAGATGTTTGAATGATGCAAAAATTCTTTACTTCAGATAATATGCTGAGATAGAGTTGTTTCATTTCAAATGTTTATCGTTGTATAGCTAGACGCCAACCGACGCAAGATTCGTTAGTTTTGAGATATGTAATCTAATGATGCAACTCTAGAGAATGAGGAGAGAACAAGGAAAAACTTATTTTTACTTTTATCGAAAATGAAACGAATTCATGCTTTTTTTCTCTCGGTGAAGATGTTGGAAAACCTAGAATTTGCTGGTTATGTCATTTCTATTTTAAGATCAAAAAAATTAATCAAAACCTTTTTCCTCATTGTACGATTTTAGAATTATCTAAATATTGTAACTGAAACATTCTCACACTTTGTAAAACTGGAAAAAAAAAATTTAACACCCCTGTACTATTGCTGTCAAATCAAGAATCTTTTAATGAATACTGATGGTTAAAACAAAACAAAATTAAAGAAATACTACATACTGTAAACGTATTTATAATTTAAATACACAAGTGCATTCTTTATATGCCTTATAGTCATCATGACAACCATTTCAATAAAATTAAAGAATTGCTAAATATCTTGCACATTTACTTTGAAACATGTCATGTTTTTATACAAAAATGATTAAATGCGCTAAATCAAATCTACACTAATTATGTTGCCAAAAATCTCTAGAATAAGCAAAAGCAGTAGAAGGCTCTTCGTATAGAATCATTGCCAACACAAAAGAATTTATCATTAGTGCAGAAGAACAAACGAATACAATACCCTTAGTCTTGTGATAAAGTAATATACATATTTTTATCAATTTTTTTTAGATCATTTTTAAATGAGATTTCATGTCTACTTCAATTTGTTTCTTTCTACATAATATGGAAAATATGTTCTTCTTAGAGATGAGATTCAGGTTGCACTATCTTGCAAAATGGGAGTTAATGTAAAACATGAACTGACATTCAAACAAAAAACAAGGCTGTGTTTGTTCGTCTGCTATAAGTCAGGGGCCCTTATATCTAAGATCTGTCTAAGACAGAAAATTATCTGAAGATTGCACCATAGCCGTTTCACAAACTTGTCATATCTTATGATAATCTTAAAATCTGTCATAATCTTAAGACAACTAGATAAATGTCTTAATTACGTCTAAAGTGAAACTGAAAACTGTAAATCTTTTGGCTAAAAACCGAAGGATATTTAAATTAAAAGAAAACATTTTTTAGAGCTAGAACAATCCTTTAAACTATATTAGGCCAGTCAGAACAATAACTACCCCCCCCTTTAATAATAAAAAAACGGTAGAAAATTAAATGTACTTTTGTTTTTCCACCTTATTCATTTTCAAGGCATTTTTTATGGTTGTACTCCCTTCCAACTGAAATTGCACCCACCCCACCCTCAAAAATGCTTCTTAAGGCCATGTATATATGTGCATGTATGTAAGATCAAGATATCATTATATAACTTTATTCAAAATTATTTAATTCAAATTCAATACCTCGCATAAAAATCACAATATATCATATTATATGACCAAGCATTGCTAAGTATGCAATTTTTAAAATAGTTAATTCGAGATATTCGAGAAACATGTAAATATACTACAATAAATGAAAATACGAAATAGATGCATTTTTATGGAAAGGGTAAGTTCATGAAAGTAAACAAAAATATCAAGTAGCAACCCTGAATTTAAAGACGTTTTGCTTTAATTTATTTTGTAACATTGTGGTTTGCTTTTTTTTAGAAAGAAAGTAAACATTCTATTTACTCGTACAAAATTACATTAAAATCAATAGTTTTAGTTCTTTTCAAAACTTTTCACTCATTTGGAGATGTCATTATACACCGTCGAAAGGCTTGAAATAGACCTGTACTCGGCACACAGGACTATTGAGCAGTAAAGATTCGTTGCTTTGCTAATTTTGAAGTTGGAAAAGCCAACTTTTAATTGGAATTTCCAACTTTGAAATATATATTGGTTGGTACTCACATTCTTCAGTAGGAAAATGTTAAAAGAAAAACAAAGAAACTCCAATTTCAGTTCACTTTGTAAACTGAAGCTCCTCTTATTCGCATGTACAATGTACGAGAGTTGTCTCGTAAAATCGTGGACAAGTTGTCTAGTGTGAAAAATAAACATAACTGCGTTCTGAAATTTTCACTATTATTTAGTACATATTTTAGTAATATACACAGCACATTTCAGATAAATTTATGCATAAATAAACAAATTATGATATTTTATGCCACGTATTGTATCACCTTACGGCGCATGGATTATAACGTCAAAGTGTCTAAAATAGTGTCACGTTTTATCTTTGCTGAAAATGAAATTAGATGAGTTTGACTTAAATTTGGGAATTTCATTGATACACATTCTTTAGTCTCCATAAACAGCCGAAAAACCTATTGGCACCCTCATGCGAAAGATATATTTAAGTTACAGACAATATTCTCATCATCATTCAACTAATAGAAAATCTCATATCGGCGGTCTACTGTGACAGCGTCCTTTGCTATTACATTAAAAGTTTTTCCGTATGTTTTGTACCCCTCAGAAAAAAACATCGCTAAGAAAACTCCTATTTCATTTGTATACTTAAGATATGGTGATTTTTTAAATTCTTTTTTCTTCTATGGTCATTTAAAGTCTGTAAAGGTGTCATTACAACATAGAAATAAAACTGAACTGTTCTCCGGTGCGCCGTAACGTCATAAAACGTCGCTATTTTTCGTGCGTTTCCCATTTCGAATGTTCGAGAAACTACCAAAAATTAAGCAAATGCCTTAAAATTTTTACAAAGACTACAAAATTGATTGTGGAATTGAATTAGGATAAATTTAATCCAAATCTTATGTATTTAAAAATTTTATTTTGAATTCAAACTTGTGTATTCTTTTATAAACCCTTGGTTTTTTGACAGTGCGCCGTAGGACAATACCTCGTGCACATTGAAGCATAATGAAATCTTTATTTTTGCCTATATTTTATCAAAAACATTATCATGCACTTAAATATGATAAACATTTACTGAAATTTTCTGCTTAGTGCGCACATTGCTTTTCGGGAAAACGCTTTGTCCACGATTTTATGGGACAACCCTCGTACAAACATATGTTTTCGAAATTGCTTACTGGCCATCATCTGCACAAATATGAGGACCACATTTTTATTCTACAACGAGATATGAAATATATTTGGCAGTTGTTACTAAAGCTCACATCGTGGATAAACGCTTATTATTAATTTCATCTGCTTGATGTGAAAAATTTCGATATCTGACACATCTCTGAATCATTTGAACACCGACGCACAAATAATTCTAATATATCAATGAGAATTAATGCAATCATTATGACGACAATTACTGATAAAGAAGAATTCCTGTTTTGAATATACATGTATTAACCTAATACACCACTCCCAAAAACCTATGCTAGATGCTGCGAGAATAACAAAATTAAGATTTAAATTTGATTGGACAAAGGACAAGATAGGGTAACAGCCGAATTTTTGATATAAAAATCAGAACACTGATAAAACTGTGATAGTTTGTAGTTAAGAAGTTAAAATGATGCTTACTTTAAGACAAGCACTAATTTTGATTCAAAGGCTACATGGAAGCCACTAGAGGGTTCAGAAATAGGACATTTTCCCGAATTTCCTCAATTCTGGTGGATTTTCATCATATTTTGGGTACATTTCTCTTCGGAAAACATAAAGCACACGCTTGCCTATCTGAGATTTTTACACATCTACTGCATCTGATATCAGTGTATAAAATATATAAATTTGTTAGATAGGCAAGCGTGTGCTCTATGTTTTCCAAAATAAAATGTGCTGTAAAATTAGTGAAAATTTGCATAAAAATGAGAAATTTCGAAAATTGACCTATTTCCTGACCTCACTGCTACCTCTGTATATTCTTAATCTTAAAACCAGTACTCATTTTGTGGCAGGGGTGAAAACAGGTTTTCATGGATAAACTGTTGGATCATTCT